AAAAAAAAAAAAAAAAAAAAAAAAAAGAAGTAGTAGAACCTCTCTAGGGAGCCTGCTGTACACAAAAGAGTTTTGCTAAAGAAGAAATGGATGCATCATGTTATAAGCAGGAATAAGGACTCAGATTCTTCTTGAATAATAGTGTGCTTCATTTAATTATGGAGAAACAAATATTAGGAGCTTTCTCAGGGCAAGAGATAGGACATGGGTAGTGATGGAGTTACTACCAAGGTCAACCTTGTACCCACGAGCAAGATAAGCAAGCCCTATAGCCATTATCTATATCCCCTTGTTTATCATTTTGTTGGAATGAGGAACATACAGGATGTGTCAGTACATTACAATGTATCATTTAACTCATAAACTGTAGCACAGAACCAGTGGAAGCATGGTCATCACCAGATGATACTGTACTAGGAAATGATAGCCTCATGTGTTCATCACTGAATTTGATGACTGAAACGTATTAGGAAGGGAGTTCCTTCTACTATACACTAGTTATTATATTATATTAGACAAATAATTTCAAATAGTATGTCTTGGTTACTTTTTTAATTCCTGGGACAAAATACCCATTATCCAAAAGTAAAGGAGGAAAGATTTATTTGGCTCACAGTTTGTGGAGGTTTCAGTTCATAGCTGACTGGCTCCAAGGCAGGGTGGCATGGAAGGAGGACATCACAGAGGAGAAACAGTTCATGCCAAGCAGAAGGCAGCAAGCCAGCAAACAGCAAGCAACAAGTGACCAGCAATGAGCCTCTTTCTGTCCCTTATGTCTTATTCAGGCTACCCACCCTTAGAGCAGGCAGCACTCATGAGTGGGGCAGCCTTCATTTTACCATCACACCACATGTCAAACTCAGCATCACACCTCAATCCCAGCCTCAGAAACCCTAGATCCAGCCACCTCTGAAAAGCCCTACCTATGACCACATGAGATCCAGATACATCTAGATACAAGCCATAATATGGTGTTTATGGAAATAAGGGCATGTGTGTGTTATATAGTCAAATTAGAACACGTAGACTTCTTTATATCTGTTTTCATTCTAGTATCACTCCTTTGTGGAAGCTTTCCTTCTAGTGCTCCCTGTGATTGTAGTGAGCTGCCAATCACAGGACTCTAGGGCCACCCTAAACCAAAATATCAGGCTCTCCTAGGAATTTGAAAGATGAGCAGAGACACACTAGATTAGGGAGCAAGTAGAATTAAGTTATCTGATAGTATCTAAAGTACTGGCACATGAGTTAATATTATAGAGATCACCTAAACACTCAAGTGTATGGCTTTCCTAGGCCTGGTTGTTCAGTATGTCACTCAGTAGCTCTCCAATAAATCCACTTAAATTTTCTTTCTTTTCATCTTTCAGTCTTCTCTCCCTCCATCCTTCCCTTCCCTCTTCTAGTTGATTATTGTTGTTACATGTAAAGATTACTGATGTGTGTAATATTAGGCTTCACTCAATATTTTGAAGGTTCAAATTATTTAAATAGATCATGTAAGCTACAAAAATATTAAATTTGGGGATATAAACTATCTGTTACACTTGCATCACTGTACTCCCTTAGCATAGAATTAATGGTTAAAGGATTTGATATAGAGCAGTGGTAGTGAGCCTAAAGCATGGTATTGGTGTCACTGAAAGCTCTAAAAGGTTCACCATAGCTGGTATAGGGTTTATTGTTGCTGTACTAAAAAATGTCTCTAACACTTACAGCAGAAACCCCAACTGTGACTTAACCTTAATAAAAATCTCTCCATCAATGTAAAATTTTGTGCTTTGAAGTCAAAGAAATTTTAAGAAAAGATGAGATTACATATTGAAACAAATAGCTAGAGAAAGCAAGAAGAAAGTACAGAAAGAGAAAGAAATATGGATTAATAATGTTCAGGATAGACTGTACTCATCCAAAAGTAGCAGTCTGAATAAGGCCAAATTGGACTAGCCAAAGGGACATCTTTTTCCCATTTCCTTTCATTACAAATTCTTTGTGGGAAATGATTTAAAATATGCATACAGTATATTTTAAATATACAGATTTTTTTCTCACATATATCTCATTATACATATATATGCAGTACCTAAAAATTCATTGAACATCTTGGAATAACTGCTTTTTGGTTAAAGTGGAGAAATTGAACTACATAATTTCTAACAACTCAAAAAGAAACCTGTGATTTAAATTATTTTTAATAGCAACTATATTCTTATGAAATCTACAATGGATTACAAATAAAATATTTAGAGTTTTATTCTATCTTAAATCTAAGATGTTACAGAGCTAGGGGACTCAGGATAGAACTCAGAAGTAGAGCACATGCCTAACATAGGTGAGGTCTTGGGTTCAATCCCCAGCACAGGAAAGAAAGAAAGAAAGAAAGAAAGAAAGAAAGAAAGAAAGAAAGAAAGAAAGAAAGAAAGAAAGAAAGAAAGAAAGAAAGAAAGAAAGAAAGAAAGAAAACAGAAAGGAAGAAAGAGGAGGAAGGAAAGAAAGAAGGGAGGGACTCAGAAAGTAAAAACATCCCATCTTGTATCCACTTTTTCCATGTTTCCCCAACAGCATATGAGATTTTTAATCCAACCCAAAATTTTTAAATGTCTATTACATGTCCAACTATGTCACTTATAGAATTATTTTATTTACTCTTATCTATGCCTGTACACAATAAATGTAACCCTCTACATACTATGTACGTATCTGACACACATAACACAAAACACACATTTTTACTTCTTTCTAGATTTCACTCAAAATGTGATGACCTCTACTAAAAGGACCTAGCAAACTCTTTCGATGACAAGGAGTAAATGTATAAGCTGATTTTGCTTCTTTCTCTTTTCCAAAACAGTAGTTACCAGGATTATTTGATTGTCCACATGGGCTATATAGACAATGAGAACCTATAATCATATAGCTATAGCATTAACTATAGGGGCTTGATTGTTTTGCAACTGTAACTCTTTAGTATAAGAACAACAAATAACATTTAGCCTTTAAATTCGAAGTTGAAAATATCTAATTCATCCTGGTCACTAATTAATAAGACTAATGGAAAGCCTCACTTAATTATCATCTTTGAAAATTTTATTTTGGAACACTAGACAGCCTATAAACATTATTTGAAATTCAGAGTTATTGCTTTCAAGGCAACTCCTGAGAATAACACAGAGCCTGAGAAAGCATTTTTAATCATGAACATTTTTATACTTTAGAGAACAAATTAACAACTGAAGTGTCCTGAAAGCCTTGACATTCTTTATATATTTTTCAGAAAAAAACTCAATGTACTTTTTTGAATCTGGATTTGGAAACACAAAGATAAAGTGCAAGGGATTCATGCCACCACCTCAGTTCAGCCGCACGCAGTGTCAAAAATCCTCAATACAGGGCCGGGGATTTAGCTCAGCAGTTCGGTGGCCTGTGTCGCAAGCACAAGGACCCGAGTTCGATCCCCGGTACCACAAAAACAAAAAAACGAACCAAAACAAAACAAAAATCCTCAATACAAAATGACCTGAGAAATATAATATTTAAGTCCGTTTGATTTCACTGCTATGCAAAACCTCGATCATCCTAAAACAGGTCATTTGTTAAAGTGAGACAGGCAAACCAAGTTCAAAGTCCATATATTGCGAAAGAGAGTTTGGTTGTGGGAGGGGGCACAGGCTCTTTCACAAAGGCAGGAGACAGTGGGTTGACTTTGCTTCCCACTAGAACGTGCTCATCCTTGTCCTTTAATTGCGAACTTCAGCTGTAGAGGGGGAGCGGGTAGGTGGGGTAGGTATTCTAATTCCTTCATTGATACTTAGTGTCACCCAGGTTCTTGCATCAGTCCTGTAAGCTAACACGAACTGCACAGCAGGACGAATATTGACCCTGCCCACCATTACACTGCTCACGAGATCCACAGCTGCTTCCATCGGCTGGTGGCAGTCGGGACTTACGCGAAACTTTCTAGGAGGCTGCAGCCCTAGAAAACAAAATAGCGCCGACCACAGCACGTAGCTCTGTTGGCAGCGCTGGGGAAGGGAGAAGACGAGACGTTGCGGAGTACTCACAGTTCGCCTCGGAAGAGACGGGCAGCACTAGGGCTAGGCACGCCAGCAGCGCCCCGCAGCGCCCACCCAGAACCCTCATCGCTAAGCCAGCGAGGGTCGGCGGGACCTGAATGCTGTTGCTGGACGATCGCGGAGACTCGAGCCTGGCTGCCGCGCTCCGAGCACTGTGG